TACGTATGTAACCCTCGTTCCCTGAAGGAGGGAACGGAGACGTCACGTCCCGTCGCCACAGCTCCTGTACCACCGCTGAGCGGCCAGGTCACCGGCTCGGCTCCTCAGCGAAAACCTGAACATGCGCTGCATCTGCTGCCTACTTATACTCACGCTGTGATCAGCAGCAGCTGGATGCAATAATCGCATACCAATGTGCATTGGCTCGTTTAGTTTACACTCTAAGCGAGATCCCAATTTCGTCGGTCATCCGACGTGACGTCTCCGTTCCCTCCTTCACGGAACGAGGGTTACATACGTAACCGAGACGTTTCGCTTTCACGACGAAACACACAGCTCTTCACGACATGGCGGCGGCAACAATACTACAGCGAGAATAAAAGTTACGCCTTCTTTCTTGGCGTGAACATTTGGGCGGCGTTATGCAAATCTTCCCACATAGTGATGTAGATATGTGGGGGCGTGTTAGAACAAGCCATTTTAGGTAGGCGTGGCTGACTCTTAACTTAAAAAGAATATCTCTTTGGATTTGAGACTTAAGTCTTTGCAACTTTACAGATCTTCTTTATGCACCAAGAGCTTGTAACACTCCAAAGAGAAAGGAAAAATTGAAATCGCATCATATGACCCCTTTAAGAATCATTGTTATTGATAAGAATTATTGTTTAATATATACTGTGATAAACGTGAAACCATGATATTTTCTGAGACGATTATCATACCGTGAAAATCTCATACCGCTACAACCCGAAATTCACCATAATGTGGCTGTTCATTAGGTTTTTATTAATATTTTGAATATGTGCAATAACCTTACATTTATTTGTTACCACCTACATCCAAGTACATCCCTGCATCTCATTCTATTCCTATTCTATCATCTACAGCACAACTGTACATACAATTTATTTTATTTCTCTATTTTTGTCTATTTATATTTATGTATGTGTACTTTTTTTATTCTCATCTTACTTTTTATTGTCTGTGTGTTGTTGTTGTCTCCGTGTACTGGAAAGCTTTTTAGTGACACTAAAACAAATTCCTTGTATGCGCAAACATACTTGGCAATAAAGCTCTTTCTGATTCTCATTCTGATTAATTTGTATATTTTTAATTTGAATTTTAAAGGGGCCATGAACTGCCTTTGTTTTTTATTTTGTACTGTTCCCTGAGGTCCACTTATAATGTTATTAAGATTTTTACATCAAAAAACATCATAATTTAGAAGTAATAGAGCGACCCTAATCAGATCGCTCTGTTTAAAAGGCGTGGCTGATTGTAGACTGTGATTGGCTAACAGTTGTGTATGTTTGGCAACATACATTCCTCATAGATGGATGCTGCTGTGATTTAGGTCAAAAACACATAAGTATCTAAATACATATAAAACGATCTGTAAGAAGAGACAAAGCAATAGTGACCACGTAATAAAAGCAGTTACTCACACTTGTGTGTTGTGACATTACTGTCGGATCCAATACACTCGGCACAGCATCGTCTTTTAGTTAGTTTCAATCTTTTTGAAAATCCCGTGTCGAATTGTGGCTTGTTTGTAAAATGAAGTAAAACGAAGTGCACAAAGGACCGAGTTCTTACTTTTAGTTCTTACAATGACCTCTTATATGTGAAAAGATCAAGGGAAATTGCAGTTTAGATATTTAATAATTTTAAGAGGGTAACAGTGTTATTATTCGATACTATAATAGTTTTTATTAAAAATTTTAATTCGTTTTTTTATATTTTCAGTTTTTAATTATTGTAATTTTTTGTCAGTTTTAAAATGTTTAAATACGTCTATATAGTTTGTATTAATTTATTATTAATTATTTCAGTTTTAGTTATTTTTGTACACAGAGTTAAACAAAATTAATTTAATTTCAAAAATATTTTACTGCAAGTAATGAAAATGTTTTTTGTATATACAGTGGTGTGAAAAAGTGTTGGCCCCCTTCCTGATTTCTTATTTTTTTGCATGTTTGTCACACTTTAATGCTTCAGATCAGCAAACAAATTTAAATATTAGTAAAAGATAACACAAGTGAACACAACATGCAGTTTTTAAATGAAGGTTTTTATTATTAAGGGAAAACAAAATCCAAAACTACATGGCCCTGTGTGAAAAAGTGTTTGCCCCCTAAACCTAATAACTGGTTGAGCCACCCTTAGCAGCAACAACTGCAATCAAGCATTTGCGATAACTTGCAATGAGTCTGTTACAGCACTGTGGAAGAATTTTGGTCCACTCATCTATGCAGAATTGTTGTAATTCAGCCACATTGGAGGGTTTTCGAGCATGAACCACCTTTTTAAGGTCATGCCACAGCATCTCAATAGGATTCAGGTCAGGACTTTGACTAGGCCACTCCAAAGTTTTCATTTTGTTTTTCTTCAGCCATTCAGAGGTGGACTTGCTGGTGTGTTTTGGATCATTGTCCTGCTGCAGAACCCAAGTTCGCTTCAGCTTGAGGTCACGAACAGATGTCCGTACATTCTCCTTCAGGATTTTTTGGTAA